ATGAGTTCTACACATGTGGGGTTCGAGTCCTCACCGCTGAAGTAGTTTGTAAGAATGTTCTATATTTGTGGTTCGCTACCACCTCCGGGGCAGTTCTTGAGGGCGTGGCTAGGTTTAGTAGTGGCTCAACAATATAAATCATGTGTATGTTGTGTTTTCAAGYCATKGCTCATAAATTTTATAAATAAGATTTGYTGCATTTAAAATCGTTTTATGCATATAAAACCTGTGAACTCRYCAACTCTTGTAGTTGACACTTGTTTGACATGCTTTTTCAGGGTAAGAAAGATTTTCGATGACTCATGTTTGAAGACGTGTTACATTTGGAAATTTCGATCTTAATTTATGTTTAGTGATGTAAACTCTTATTTTGGGATTGTAAACTTTATTTATTTTGAATTTATGTTTTCTAAATGTATGGTTGTGTTGTTTATACACTATTGCTATGAGACTCTACCTGCCATACCCCGTGTTTCCGCTTTAGCGGGGTGTGACATATAACAAATATATGAACATATAATTCATAATGCCAATACCTTACCAATTTCCAAAGCCAATCACTCAGCTTTATAAATAACATATTCAAACCAAATAGGTTAGAACCTTCTAGGTTTAACATAATACTAGTTTAAACCTTTTTAATTAGAAACTTGTTATCATATTTTCAATAACATCCAGACTATGATTTCCAATAAGAACAATTATTCTAAATCTTTAAATCACGAAGAAATAAGGATTTAAGGTCATCGTAATCTTAAAGAATATAATAGTAATAGTTATATCACATAACACATATATACAAATGCCACCCTTATAATCAAAGGTACACCTCTCCTTGATATGTCACCCTTATCCCATGGTACACCTCTCCTTGATATGCCACCCTTATTTCCTCATCAAATCTTTACAAAATATTTCCAATTAGAACACACCAAAGTCACAAAACGTCCTAAAGAAATATCAGCCATATTTAAAAAAAAAACAATTCAAAAACCATTTTATAACAATTCTCATTCTTTTCTCATATTAAAAGAATGCCATTATAAACACTTATCTGATTCACAAATATGCTTTTACTTCAAAATACTAATTCGGTCAATCATCAAAATCTGGTCAACTCGTTGACTTGGCCGGACTTCATCTCCGGTCAACCCTTGGCCGGACTTCAAATTCGGATAACATAACAAAGTCAACTCTTAGCCGGGTTGCAAATCCGGACAACATTATAATAACCTAGTCAAACTTTAGCCGGTTTACATATACGAATATTTTTCCAACACTTTAAAATACGGTCATCATACAAACGGATTTACACAACACCGGTCAAGCCTAGGTCGGTTTATGCCTAAACCGGATAGCCCTTGACCGTATTCCTAGTTCTCCTATCAATGCCTTTATTCGATTTACATTAATCCGGTCAACACTAGGATCGGTTTTAAGACTAATCCGGAAAATACATGTCCGATTTATCACTAATCCGGACAACATGTGTTTGATTTAATATCAAATCTGGCTAAACAAGTTTATAGAGTAATTCAGTGTTCATATCAAAATAAATACTTTTTAAAAATATAAAACCACTCATGTTTTAAATTCTTTTGAAATCAGCTTTAAGGATTCAGTCCAATAATAATGCGGTCAACACTTCACTTAAAACTCTCTCTCAAACTCAAAACGGCCAAGAAGAGTAAAGGGAGACCTCTCCCTCCTTATATACTCTTTCTGAAAAGAGTATGGCGGCTAAACAACCACATACACACTTATGCATGAATACATCCCATGCATACATTCAACTTCATGAATGCATTCGTACATACATCATTTTATTCACCATATATGCATATAACAATTATGCGTATTAACACATTAACACATTATGCATAAAATACACATTCCCACATGATCAATTATCACAATTTATCATGCTTTCACGTAATCGTATAATAAATAATCACGTATTAGTTACCTCGAGTGATAATCAAGACCCAGTTAACACAACATCAACTACTGAAGTTGAATATGTAGCCACTGGAAGTTGTTGTGCCGAAGTTCTTTGGATGAAAAACCAGCTGAAAGACTACGATCTTCAGTTCTCGAAGGTTCCTATCTATTGTGATAGCACTAGTGCTATTGCAATGGCAAACAACCTTGTACTTCACTCCAAGACCAAACATATACAGATCATATATCATTTTATCAAAGATCATGTTATGAATGGTGACATTGAACTTCAGTTTGTTCCAACTGATTATCAGCTTCCTGAGTTTTCACCAAACCTCTTGATCAGACAAGATTTAACTTCTTGATCAGCGAACTGGGGATGTTAAATGTTGAAGAATAATTTTCTTCAGCTATATACGTTAATCACTAAGTGAATTGATTCAATGCTCTATCTCTATCACTGAACTCTTGAGTAAATGTATGTACTCTCTCTAAGGTATGTATACTTGTTCTTTTTCTAAAAACTTAAAACTATCACTGAAGCTTTTCCTTCTGTGATTAAAAAGTTTTTAAATGTCAGTTTCAGTGATTCTTTTATCACTGACACTGAAGTCTTTATGAAAATATACTCTTCTAAGTTTCAATTCTTAAAACAAAACCATCACTGAAGCTTTTCTTCTTCAGAGATAAAAAATGCTTCAAAACGTTTCTATTAGTGATATTCCTATCACTGAATGTGACTCTTCAAATTTCTTAAAACCTTTTCATTTTAAAAGAAATAGTTAATGAACCATTTTAATAATGACATTCTCTGCTACCAATACGAAACGCTTTGAGATGCGCAAAAAGGTCTGACACACACGTGAACTACTTTATCTTCCATCCAATCATAGATGAGAACGTGCCATATTTCTCATCATGGCCTTTCCTCAACCGTCATATTCTTCCTCTATCCTATTTTATTTCTCTCTCCTCTTACCTATAAATATGGGATCTCTTCCCTTATATTTTCTTTACGCTTACAAAAAATCTTTGACGAAACTCTACCAAAAGAACTTTGCAAGCAAAAACTCAAGAACACTAAGAACTCGAATCCTTCGACCTTCTTCTCAACTACTTTAAGGTCGATTCTCATTTATTTCTTTAAACTTTGAACTGTTCTTCTCCTTTCTATGAAACATATCTTTGAGATTTTAATAACCTTTTTCTCTTAAAACACAAACATAAAGATTAATAACACATTCTTAATATTGGTTATAATCTTGTTTCAAAACACTAATCTACTTGAAAAATGCTAATATCTCATTTCTAGATTTTTCAAAAGAAGTTTTATTGTGCTAAAACTTAAAAAGATAACAATGTATCTTGGACTACTAATATAAACTGTTTTTCTTTCTTATTTCCTTACCAAATATAGAAAATGGCTGCCAAGAACGTGAACTTATTCGTGGAAGACGTCTCCTTCAAGGAAAATAACCACATTTCCTTGTTGGACATTCCCACAAACAAGACCATTTACGAGGATGTTGTTGCCTTCCTCAAGATGTCCCCACTTGTCTATGCTCTCAACCATGAACCTGTCATGGTTAGGGAGGCCCGTCAGCAGTTCTGGATAACTATTGAGGTGGTGCAAGGGAAAGACAAAAAAGGTCGACAGGTGGAGAAAATGTCCTTCACTTTCAACAGGATGACCATCAGCAAAAGTGGTTTCAATAACTCTTCTCCCACTTCATCCAGTCAATGGGTGGAAAGACTAGCGGAGAAGATCAGGCGTCTCGGGTTGCCCTCACCATTGGTGTTTTAGCGATCCAACGTCGCCCAATCAACTATGTTATCGTGCTCTGCGACAACCTGACGCTGAAGCTGAACAAGGAACAGAGGGAGAAAGTGGTGCCCTACACCAAGTTCCTTTCCATGGTCTTTGCTAAAATATTTGGCTACAAAAAGGAAGGTAACCTCCCTGTTTGCAGGCTTGGATCCAGGATTCTGGATCACAAGCTTAGGGGAGGAGAAGTTGCACTATCTTCAGTGGTACAATTCTCTTCCTACCCTCCTTCTCCTCCTCAGGTGGCCAAGATAAAGGAAATCCCACCCAAGTCTAACCCAGCCACCACCACCACTTCTTTCAAACGCCATTCACAACCAACTCTTGGTTCTCCTTAGAGAGCCGAAAAGGCCAAAAAGAGGATAACCACATCTCTGGCTGTGACCTCTCTACAGATCTCGGCTATTGAAACAAGCCTTACTCTCGAGGCACTTTATAGTAGCTTCCCAAGCTCTTCAGTGATCCCTGACATCACTGTCGTATCAGTGGCACCTACACCACCCGTCTTAGTGACTCAAATCACTGAAGGTGTGAATATCAGCGCCACCACCGCTGAATGCCCACAAACTCTTTAAGAAATATTATCTTCTCCTCCATCATTGGTCACTACACGTGTTCATGATCCATCAGTACATGTCCTCCCTAATGTTAAGACACACCACTGGATCTGAGGTAGCTCCTCTTGAGGCTCTTCAGTATACTGGTGTTCATCCTCATGAGTGCACCATGGAGCATACCAGAGATTATCCTTCGAATATTGCTGATGACCCCTCAAATATTCCATCTTCCTATCCTTTCATTTCGTCTAACCCAGAGTTTCTTTTTGCTCACTTTCCTTCCTTTACAGGTCAAACGAAAGTCCAAGATGTCAAGAGCTAGCTCTCCTCTCTCTAAGAGGCTGTACGAGCTAATGTTGAAGCCATAACTGCTTTCACAAGTAGGGCTGATGACACACAAGCTCATTCTCTCCAGCAGGCGGACCTTTTACAACAAGTCCGAATTACTCTTCACCAACCAGCACTAGTGACTCCCCTTTCTTTCACCGCTGATGACCGTACTCAGCTTCATGAAGCGTGCGAAACAAAGACCAACCTAGCCAACACTCTGCCATAGCTAGAAGAGATGATGGTCCTCCAAATAAAAAATGTAGACCAACTCTCTAGCATATGCTCTCAAGCCTTCGCCAGAGAGGGGGAGATAAGGTCCAATACTGCTAGACCATCTGCTGAACCTGCTGCTCCAGCAACCGATGACGCTAAAGCTTCTAGAGCTGAAGCTGAGGCTGTCTGCGAAATTCCAACCTCCAGTGAAGATGCTATTGTTGAGGACGTTGATGCCATCCGATCTGAAGCTCGTGATGATGACCTTCCCATCACCTCTGCACATGTTGCTGGTGATATGGATGATGAAGATGATGAAGAAGATGATGAGGACGGTGATGCTTCTGATCTCCCTGACTTCGGCAGTGACCTGGATGATGACAACGATGATGATGACGATGAAGACGGCCTCACCATCCAGTACCAGCGTCCAACCACTACCACCAAGGAGTTGTCCTAAGGGATTCTGCATCCTAGGGGGAGCAAAAGGAAGAAGAGTTTGCACCTGAAAAGAACCAAGGCCCTAAGTAGAAAGGCAAAGGCGTCGCTGAAGAAGGGAATTTAAAGGTATTGTTTCAAACCTCTCAACCCTTATTTGAAGACTCCACCTCTCAAGTAGTCATCACTTCCATGTATCAATTCGAGATACCTTTTACTACCTATGGTTGATTGGAATGGGTCCCTCAGAACGCTATTCCCAACACTGCCACCGACCAGCTGATGACTCAACTCAGGGAGTCATTTGACCAGACTAGAGTAAAAATCCCTCTTCGTACCTCTAGTGGTGGAGATTTCGACTTCCTGACCAAAGCTGAAAGACTCGAGGCCTTAAGAGTTATGCAAGAACTAGAACTTCAAAGGAAACAATTTGACGATATCATAAGGCTGGCCAAGTCTCTAGCTGAAAAATTTCTTCCCAAGAGAAAGTCCAAAAAGAATGTGACTGCTGTTGAAGCCCAAGCTAAGCTCATATCTCTTGTAGAAGCTGAGCATGAGAAAAAATCTAAAGCTGGCTGAGCGGGACAAGCGCTGGAGTGAATCAAGTATCAACAAGAGAATCAGTCCTCACCCAATAAAGAGTGTCAACATCAGCGGACGAGCAAAAGAGGGTGGGATTCTGCTCTCAATACTCAACACCAGGGACAATCTTGATGCTATGACCGAGTACCCCTCTTATCTAGGCGAATATGGCTATAGCGAATGGCTAGAAATTAGACAATCCATTCAGTGCTCCAAATCCTGACATAAACCGATTATCGAAGAGATCATCAGTGACCTGATCAAGGTGTCTAAATATGTCGCAGTCCCCGAAAGGCCAACGCTGAAGAAAGGAGGAAGAAAGAAAAGACCCTCAAGTCCTAATGATGGACCATCCCTAAGGAACGGATATAAAACAAAGTTCTCCTTATATGAAGTCTTGAAGGATTATGAGAGTCCAGACATTTCTATGCTGAATCTTGCCTTGCCAGCGAAGGGTCCTTATGTACCCAACACTGTGCACTTCAAACCTGAGTTAGGACTTATATTCCTTGACTATGACGGTGAATTAAGATTTCAGAGAATGTCTGAGTTACATATATGCCCTATGGAACACCTGGTTTATTTTAGGTTTTGGCTAGATGATGACTTAAAAGGTATAGTAGTGGACCGAAAGATAAGAAGGGAGTTTCTACGTCGAAAGGAGCTTGGAGAAAATGTACTAGGTTACATCAAGCAAAGCGACTTAGACTAGTTTATTTCCTTCGTAATATTGTCTGTGCACTGTAAAGTATATCCTATGTCTACTTTCAGTGATTGTTCTTATTTTTTGTAAGTGTAGACATTTACTGAAATACTTGTGTGCCATATTTCTCATCTTGGCCTTTCCTCAACCGTCGTATTTTTCTCTCTCCTTCTTTGCTTCTCTCTCCTCCTACCTATAAATATGAGACTCTTCCTCTCAAATTTCTTTTACGCTTACAAATATTCTTGACGAACCGCTGCTAAAAGAACTTTGCAAGCAAGAACTCCAAGAAAACTAAGAACTCGAATCCTTGGACCTTCTTCTCAAACTACTCTAAGGTCGATACTTACTTATTTTAAGCTTAGAACTGTTCTTCTCCCTCTTATGATACAAATGTCGGAGATTTTAAGAACCTTGTTCTCTTAAAACACAAACAAAAAGGGTAATAACACATTCTTATTCTTGGTTATAATCTTGTTTCAAAACACTACTCTACTAGAAAAACCCTATTATCTCATTTGTGGATTTTTCAAAAGAAATTTTATTGTTCTAAAACTTAAAAAGGTCACAATGAATCTTGGACTACTAATATACATTGTTTTTCTCTTTCTTATTCCTTAGCAAAAAAAAATTTTGGCTGCCAAGAACATGAACTTTGTTGTGGAAGACATCTCCTTCAAGGCCAATAATCACATTGCCTTGATGGACATTCCCACAAACAAAACCATCTACGAGGATGCTACTACTTTCCTTCATATGTACCCACTCGCTTATGCTTTCAACCATGAACCTGTCATGAATAGGAAGGCCCTTCAGCAGCTCTGGATGACTACTGAGGTGGTGCAAGAAGTGGACAAGAACGGTCATTAGGTGGAGAAAATCTCCTTTACCTTCAACAGGATGACTATCAGCTTTGGCGTGGCCACTCTAAGGCACGCTCTTCGATTCCCCAAGGGCCCCTTTGCCAGTGAACCCTCCAATGCTGAGATCATCGTCTGCCTCAATGACATTGGCTACCAATTGCCAATGAAGAAGGACTCTAGCAAGTCCATTAAGTCGCTGTCAAAGATTGAGAAGAACCGCATGTCAGCGGTCTGGCAATACCTCTTTTCCCACTTCATCCAGTCCATGGGTGGAAATACTGGCGGACATGATCAGGCTTTCTGTGTCTCTTTAACCATAGGTGATTCATCGATCCAACACCGCCCGATCAACTACGCTGTCGTCATCTACGATGACCTGGCACTAAAGCTGAACAAGTACTAGAGGGAGAAAGTGGTGCCCTACACCAGGTTCCTTTCTATGGTCTTCGCCAAGATCTTTGGCAAAAAATACTCAAAGGAAGGTAACGTCCCTATCTGCAGACTTGGATCTAGGATTCTAGATAACAAGCTTAGGGATGGAGATACTGCACTATCTTCAGTGATGCAATTCCCTTCTTCCCTCCTTCCCCTCCTCAGGTGGCCAAGACAAGGGAAATCTCCCCCAAATCTAACCCAACCACCACAACCACTTCTTCCAAACGTCCAAAGCATAAACAACTCTTGGTTTTCCTCAGAGAGCCAAGAAGGCCAACAAGGGGATAACCACATCTCTGGCTGTGACCTCTCAACAGGTCTCAGTTATTGAAACAAGCCTTACCCCCGAGGCACTTTCAGTTAGCCTTCCCAACTCTTTAGTGATTGCTGACATCATTGTCGTATCAGTGGTACCTCTCCCAACCGCCTCAGTGACTTAAATCACTTAAGATGTGAAGATCAGTGCTGCCACCGTTGAACACTCACAATCTCTTTCAGTCGTCTTCCTTCTCCTCCACCCTTGGTCGCTACACGTGTCCATGATTCATTAGTATCAGTCCTTACTGATGATGAGACACTCACTATTGGATTTGAGGTAGCTTCTCTCGAGGATTCTCAGCAAACTGGTGCTCATCTTCATAAGTGCACCATGGAGCAAACCAGCGTTAATTCTTCAGATAATGCTGAATACCTCTCAGGTACTCCATACTCCAACCCTTTCATTTCTTTAAACCTAGAGCTTATTTTTGCTCACTCTCCTTCCTTTCCAGGTTCGTCTGAGGCCCAAGCCATGGACGAAGAGGAGTATGACATGGCATTGGATGTCAACCTAATCCTCCCAGTCGTTGAGACTGTTTACTCAAGATGGACGAAATCCATAAGGACATGCCTCGAAGAGAAGACGTTGTTGCGGACCTCTCAACTTTCAAGGCTAAAGTCCAAGACGTAAAGAGCCAGCTCTCCTCTATTGAAGAGGTTGTATGAGAAAATGCTGAAGCCATAGCTGCTCTCACAACCAGGGCTGATGACGAACAAGCTCAGTCTATCCAGCAGCCGGAGCTATTACAACAAGCAGCACCAGTGACTCCTCCTTCATTCACTGTTGATGACCATGCTCAGCTTCATGAAGCATGCGTAGCGACAAAAAACATAGCCAGTGCTCTGACACGGCTAGAAGAGATGATAGTCCTTCAAATGCACAACATCAACCAACTCTTTGGTTATGCTCTCAAGCCATTGCCAGGGAGTGGGAGATAAGGTCTAATGCTGCTGAACCATCTACTGTCACCCCTGCTAAAAACGTTGCTTCAACAATCAATGAAGCTGAAGCTTCTAGAGCTGCAGCTGAAGCTGAGGTTGTCTGTGATATCCCAACCTCTAGTGAAGCTGTTATAGTTGAGGACGTTGATGCCATCCAAGATGATGCTCATGACGATGACCTTCCCACCACATCTGCACCTGTTTCTGGTGATGTGGAAGATGAAGAAAATGAAGATGATGATGATGAGAAAGGTGACTCTTCTTATCTCCCTGACTCTAGCAGCGATCTGGATGTTGACGATGATGTTGACGATGATGATGACGATGAAGATGACTTCACCCTCCAGTACCAACGTCCTACCACTGCCACCAAAGGAGTTGCCCTTAGGAATTCCGCATCCTAGGGGGAGTAAAGGGAAGAAGAGCCAGCACCTGAAAAGTACCAGGGCCCTAAGTCGAGAGGCAAAGGCGTTGCTGAAGAAGGGAACTTAAAGAAGCTGAGCACGAGAAAAACCTGAAGCTGGCTGAGCGGAACAATTGCTGGAGTGAAGCAAGTATCAATAAGAGAATCAGTCCTCACCCAATCAAGAGCTTCAGCATCAGCGGACGTTTGAATGACGATGGGATGCTGCTCTTCATGCTCATCATCAGGGATAATCTCAAGGCAGTGACCGAGTACCCCTCCTACCTTGGCGAATATGGCTATAACGAATGGCTGGAGATCCGACATCCCATTCAGCGCTCCCAATGCAGACACAAGACCATTATCGAAGACATTATCAATGAGTTGATCAAGAAAGTGTCAAGATATGTCGCAGTCCCTGAAGTGCCAACGCTGAAGAAAGAAGGAAGAAAGAAAATACCTTCATGCCCTAATGATGGACCATCCCTGAGGAACGAACATGAAACAAACTTCTGCTTAGATGAAGTCCTGAAGGTTTCAGAGAATCTAGACATCTCTATGTTGAATATTTCATTGCCAGCGAAGGGTCCTTAGGTACTCAATATTGTACACTTCAAACCTGAGTTGGGACTTATATTCCTTGACTATGACGATGAACTAAGATTTCAGAGAATGTCTAAGTTACATCTATGCCCTATGGAACACCTCGTTTATCTCAGGTTCTGGCTAGATGATGACTTAAGAGGGGTAATGATAGACCAAAAGATAAGTAGGGA